GCCTTCCCGCCCCTTCCCCCACCCGACCCCACCCCCAACTGCAGGCGAAGGCCCCGCAAAGCAGCCCTGAAGGGTTTCAGAGGCCAGTTATTCCAGAAACTTTCTCCCAAGTGGAGAATGTTTAAGGGGCTATACCTTCTAGAGATAAGGCTACACCTGCCGTTGCAAATGTCCGCATACCTGTGATAGTAAAGGAGCAACTATCTCGAGCTCCATTTGCTCTCTCCAGGCCCCCAAACTTAAAACCATCGCCACACAAAGACCTCGGTGGATTCGCCTAAGACGCTTTCAGTAACGATTTGCAAGGAGATTGCAGCTTGGAATCTGCAGCACTCTCCCTCCACGCCTTACAGAAACCTGGTCCTTCCTGCAGCCTCGGGTCACAAGCTGCACCAAATACATCATCAACAGCACAGAAAGCAAAAAAGACAAATCGAGTTAAGGATCCCATTCTCACCCCAATCTTTGACTCACCAGAACGACAACCCTTTGACTGTTAAAGGGGAATAAAAGATCAGAACGGAAAAATCCGTAAAGCAAAGTTGCGGTCTATAATGAAATTACAACAGCAACGCATATAGCTTGGAAAGTGTGAGAAGATAAATATGAACTGTGCCTTGAAGGATGAAAGAAATAAAAACTTACCCCCAGTGAATATCTCTTAAGCAATGATCAGGTCTAGAAATCTATACTGAACAGAAGCAGAGGAGAATATTTTTCTGAGTCTCAGGGCAGAAGCTCTTTCTCTATATTCTTGGTTGAGTGAGCACATCCAGGTGTGAAATTGTTTGCACACCCCAGCACCTCTTATATTGCCAGCAAAATTAGCTGTTATTACTGTCACTGTTTAGTGATGGTTAGCGTGATACAAAAAAAAAAAAAAAAAAGAAAGAAAGAAAAAAAAAACTGCTGTAATCAAGACCTGGCGCATCTTTGCAAATTACAGATAATTGTAAACGTCCAGATTATGATAATAGCATCCTAATCCAGCCTGCAATATAATTATTACAGAGTGTTACATCTGAAACTGTCCAGTAGGGCTAATTCAGCCATTATTTAGACCCTATTTTTGCACTGCAAATGGGTTGCTGAGTTGAAAATGTACGATGGTAATTTCACAGGGCACTCAATGAGTAATGGTATAGGAAGAGGAAAATACAAAAGTGAAATGTGAACAGTAGCGATCAAATCAAACCCTGAAGGACAAAAGACTGTTTGATTCATATGGAAAAAGAAGAGCGGGAATTAAGAAAATAGCAAATCAGTGGTCTGACGCATTATGTGTCCAAATCTTCAATGTATGTAGGGCTGATGTGTTTGCAAGAGCTGCTGCATCTGCTGTGGCCTGGAGTCTGCAGTAATTTCTTTCTTTCTTTCTCTCTTCTAAACCTTTGTCTTTCCCCCACCCTCTCGAAAGCATTTCCTTGTTGAAAAGAAAAGTGCCCCTCCCCCAAGCAAAGAACACTTGTCAGTTTCCCCATTGTTTCCACCGAGGCAGCCTCCGTGTGCCTGTCACTTGTTTATGAACATTTTCTTAAATGAATTTGCAATCTCTCTTGTCATTAGCGCAAAATGCCCTGGGTGCATGTAAGTGTTGCTAAGCTCCTTTTCCATTCTCTTTCACAGGGAACAAGTCACTGAGAGTCCTAAAGGATATTAGCAGAAAATATATTAATTGCTGCTAATTAAATAAAGCTGGGCTGGGAAGCTGTCTCCACTCTGCTTGGCTGGCTACTGGATTTAAACCTATCATTAACTTTATTAATTAACACCCCCCCCCATATAAACCAGTCTAGCTGCTTCGTTTGCTACAAGTCACTAATGTGTTTCTTTCTGGATTCCAGAAGTCCAGTAATTTTGGTAAAGGACTGTCCTTGCCCCCAGATATGGTTATAAAACCCCAAGGTGAATCTCCTTACAAAATGGAAGGACCAAAGAGAAAGAGAGTAGGAGAGTTAGACCAAGAGAGTCTGGAGAGAGGCTGGGGCACTGTGCTGGTCCCAGAGTGAAAGTGAAGGACAGGTTCCAGCTATTGCCTCCAGCAGGATGAACCCTGCCCTGGCTGAGACTTCTGGAGTCTAGTTCTGGCTTCTAGTGGGGACACCTTGGTTAGGGATACCTAAAGCCCTGATATCCCCAGGAGCTCAATTTTCCCACCATGAGCACAGAGAATTTCCTGAGCATCTTTTCCAGCCTCTAGGACACTGTGTAATGATTCTTCCTCCCCCCATCACCTCGCAGACCTGGGGACTGCCCAGCCAGGGCCATCCCACAGGGTGGCAAGCAGGCTTCCTAGACTCTGTGAATTTAAGGGCAATAATGAAATGTCCCCTGTGTAGTGACCCCTGATCATAGATGAAAGTTGAGTCCATAGCCTGCCTCTTCTCCCTCCCCTCTTCTTCCACCTTGCAAATGGCAAGTGGCGGAAATTGTCTTTGGATGCTTCCATTGGCAGATTTCTGTCTTCTCACCTTTGTAAGAAAAGATGCTTTAAAATAAATCATAGTTTGTGAACTGCTTACCGCCCTTCACCCCCACCGACTTAAGAAAATACAC